TGGCTGGCCTGAGCTCGAGTTGGGAGGGTTGTGGTATTGTTGGCTGCGGCGGCGACGGATGAGGCAGAAGCAGGCCAAACCGAGCAAGATGATGAGGGCGGCAGCTCCGACTGCGATGCCGACGATGGCACCGGTGGAGAGGGACGAGCCACTGGATGGAGCGGATGTAGCAGAGACCATGCGGGTGGGTGTTCTGAGCGTGATTTCGGCTTGGTCGGCCAACATGAGGCCCAGGTCTGCGGTATTCCAGCCAGCTGCGGGAGATGTCTTTGTTGCGCCGCCATTGCCGTTGCCGCCTATCACTGCAATGACTTCATCTGGGACCGAGTATGTCGTCTTATTCGGGGAGTAGAGTTCCCAGATGCTCTTGTTCTTGTTCTGTTTGCCAAGGTCGACGTTGTGTGTCCCCCATTGCACGGGGTAGTCACAGTCGTTGGATGAAGGGAAAGTTCCGCCGATGATGATCATTTGTGCGCGGCCTGGTACGATGTTGCAGGACAGAGAATGGTGAGGGTTCGAGCCGGTGCCGTTTGTGGAAGGGAACATCTTCACCCATGTGAATGTTGGGAGGGAGAGAACGTAGACGTCGTCGTAGCCTGCGCCAAGGACTCCTGGGACCGTTGCTCCGCCGTACATGTAGCTTTGAATATGTTAGTGATGGACGTTAAGAGAAGGAGGGAAAGAAAGCCTAACATGTTGTAGGAGGATTGGTCCGCCGACCATGTGACGCCTGCGCAGAAACGCCGTCTCATCTCGGGGATCTGGCCCGTCGCCTTTTGCGTGTACCACCTGCTGCTCAGGATGTCGTACATGAAGATCGTGTCCATCGGCTGACCCTCCCCTGTTCCGTTCGTATTGAAATCCTGAATGCCGCCAAAGTAGACCAGCATCCCGCCGCCTCCAGCAGGTATGTAATGCAGACTTCCTTCAGCGCGGCGGACGTTGTCTGGGCCAGTATTGTTCGACCAGCTGTTCGTGTCCATGGTGTACTTGACGAGCCCGTTAGTAGCGACTGGTGGACCTGTTCCCCATCCCGCGACGGAGGCGTTGCTAAGCCAGCCGCCATAGTAGTACGCTTCACCCCTCGTGTCGACAGACACACCAGCTCCGTAGCTGACTTTTGAAATGGGAATACCGGACCGTGGTGTGCCGTACGATGTCCAATAATTATTAATGATATCATAGGACCACAGATTGAATGGGGATGGGGGTTCGGCATTGTGCTCGCCGCCAAAGAGATAGAGACGCTTGTTGACACCATCGGCCCATAGGCCACCGCCGTTGGTGTTGGGAATAGTTCCGTTCTTTGAGAGGTTCGCAAATAATGGCGGCATACCCACATTGGGGGCTGACTGGGAGAGGTCTTGATAGAGGAGCCATGGATCTGAATGGTGTTAGCGAGACTTCTTGAACTATGCAATCTTTATAAGTGGAACTATCAGCGACGGTAAGTGGACGTACTTGAGTAGTTACTCGGATTCTCGTTTATGTTCCAGTTAATGAGCCCCCCATCGATGTACAGTTTGCTGTCTACAACAGCTGTCTGGTGCCCGAATCGACGACAGAAATTGTTCACGGGATCTTGTTGTGCGATGGCCGGTGCCACGAGTAACAGAACGGACGCACATAGCAGAGACGTCTTTGATCGGATCTCTAACACTCCTCCATCCCGGGCTGTCGATCCATCCCAGTATGGGAACAGGCCCATAGTGAATATATGCGAGTAATTGGCGTCCAGTCGGCAGTTCAAAATCCAGGGTGTATCGAAGGCAAGGCAGGCAAGGGAGAAAAGTAAGTGGGGATCAATAGGATTTGTTCTGCGGACCAGTCTTCTGTATGTCTCGTGGATAGCGGGTTACTTCTGCAAACCAGAAAGGAAAGATCGTCTGGTAGGAGCGAGCAATGGAATGCTGCGCGGAGATGAACGTGGTTCAAGGGAGAAATGTGATGAGGAACACGGTCAAGGTTGAAGACGCAGAAGGATTGCAAACCTCCAGAAAATAACGGAATTGCCCACGAAAGGAGTTCAGGCTAGGTCTGCCCAGAGATATGATCCAGCTCGGAGACAAAGAATCGAATGGGGAACAAGAGAGTGCGCAGGCTTGGCAAGCTAGGAGTGCCACTCAACCCCGCGACCAGAAGGCATGAAGCCAGACCGGATCCAGACGGGCGGCGGCTCGGCTGCAGCCAGAGGCTGACCAGATGTGAACGGGCGAGACAGCTGGAATTCTAGCCCGGGACACCATGCCTCGATCGATGTAGCTTGCTTTGCCACGTTCGGTACTCTGCTTGTCTGGCTGTGAGTGAACCTGACTCCCGGGTCAAGTGGGGGACGGGGAGGCGCCTTGAATGTCAAGCGGGACAAGGCCTAGATCGAGATGATCATCGACTTCGATGATTGTAGTTTTTCTGTTGTGAGTATCAATGACATGTCCAATATTTGAGTGCCAGGGGTTTCTGAGCTCATATGTCAACGCCCACACATGCCGCGAAGGCAGAGGAATAACGTTTGAGACAAATTGCGGTGAAGCAGCTGCTAAGCAGGCACGCAGATGGGATTTCATGGCTTGCGCTGCAGCTGCGTCAGCCTCCCGGGAGACTCAAGTGCCAAAAAAAAAAACGAAGTGGTAGCAAGTCAGACAAACGGGAAGTCCGTGGAGGCTTAAACACGAACGCGGCCTTAACGTTGTGTTTAGAGAAAAGGCGGCTCAAGCTAGAGCTTGTGGACGGTACGTACGAGGTCCAATTGGAGAAGTGGTCTGGAGAGTCCCGCTTCAGCTCACTGGAGCAAAGTTCCGGATGGGATGGAGTTCGGGCAGCCACATGGCACTAGATCCTGCATCCGGCAATGGGCGTGGCAGGGCTGAGGCCTACGGCTCAAAGAGGAGGCGCGACTTCGCTTGTTGGCTGGGTGAGATAGTAGTTCACGACGCGGGCGGGAGCCGTTGGAAGGGTAGAGCAGTAGCAACCACTTTCGACTAATTAGCGGGATGGCAGGGCTCTGGCGCCGAACAGTTGGGTCCGAACTTTGAAGGTGAAGTTTCCATTCAGTGACCAAGGAAAAGTTTCCACCGAAATGCATGGTTTCGTTCTTCCCATTGATGTCTATCTCTTCTAAGGGTAGCGCACCCTCGACTCATCGGTTGTTCTGAAGCTCTATTGATGTGCATGATCCGTACTCCAGCAAAGGTGGGAACTGCATCGACGACTGCCTTGGCAAGATCTGACAAGAGATTCAGCCAGTTGTCTTTTTGCGGTAGGCTGTCCTTGCTATCGTCTCTTTCACTGTCCGCTTCGATTATCCATGTCGACCATGTCTTGTGGCAGAGGTCTGACTGTTGCTAATAGTTCCTGGTAGACATCGTTCAGCTCCTGCTCGTCGGGCTTCTTCTCGACTATTTTCCGGAAACACGGTTTCGTCTTGTCGGGGTTTCCCTTCTTTGGAGCCCCAGTCAAGATGCGAAAGATCTTGAATTTCCAGGTTCTGAGATTCAACCGGGGGCCTTCAAAGCTTTGCAGGTCTGAGCCGACGCCAGATTCCTCTTGTGATTCTCTTAATAATACCTCCTTTTGGAGGATGCGCATTACTTCAGTGATAACGACTGGCTCAACCCCGTACCGATGGCTGAAGGCATGTTCGATGTAGTTCTGCAAACCCCAGAGCTTGAAGGCTCCAGCGCAAAGCCTCATGCCCTCGTGGCAAAGGGGGAGACCCATTGGATAGCCGTGCAACTCGCAGCGAGCGTTGAAGCTGTTGATGATGGGCAGCAATTCGATGGGGCGCTCCAAACGATAAAGCGCATCTGATATAACCGTTGCAATAGCGGTGGCGTTATTTGCAATTGTCTCATGACTTTGACCAGACGTTAGGAATCTCGAGAGTAAGCGCTGAAACTCTTTGGCATTGTTTGGTTCCTCTAAAAGTCGTGAAAGCTCTTCAGCGCCCAGTCGCCATGGACGGGCGTTGTGCTTTCGATGGATGAGCCACTCTAGAAGGCGCTCGTCGTCTTCACAGACGGATAAGGGAATGCCATTTTTGTCGACAACTTCGAGTTGAACACTGTCAGCATCTTGGGTCCCGCGCCCTGGGCGTTTGGGAGCTCCCTGAAGAGCAGCAGTCATGATGTCGAGATCCGTGACACGCCATGGTTGCCAGGACTTGCTTTGAATGATCTCGAGCTTCTTCTTGGCGTCCTTATAGTCGGCCTCAAGTTTGTCGATGCGCTTTCCCATGGCATCCTTCCTTGGATCTGACTTCCATTTTGCGGTCTGGGCCACTTCTTCGGCCTTGTCATACGGTCGCGTGTAATTGCTCTCGTAGCTGTCCAGGTCCAAAACCGCCTCTGTGAGCTCAAAAGGCTTCCACCATGGTCCTGGTGTAGGGGTGCTGCGTTTTCTCAGGTGAATCCTCGGTCGTGTCCTTTTCGTGAGATGAGCAGTAGAATGAAACGGAGCTGCCGCGGCAGGAAAAGAAGTTTTGCGGCGAAGGCCTTGGATGCCACTCGCACATCTCAGAGGTGGCATAGCTGGCGCGCTTGGCTAGCTCATTGGGTGCTCCGAGCTTAGGTCAGTTTTGGGGATGAAGCTTTTCAAGGACACGCGATGTCGCTTGAAAAATCGTCTGATTCTGGGAGCCGCATACTACCCAGGGCGCGTCTAGGTGCTGAGGGGAGACTGGACGCAGGGGGTGTTGGGGCTCGACAGGGATGGCCCGCCCGCGTAGCCGCGGGTGCTTTCTCGCAGGTCTCCCCCCATACGATCCACAGCGGGTGGGGCGATTTGTTGTTCCGGTCGAAGCACAGCCACAAACAGTGCACCGCACCAGCCACATACTCTGAAGGCTGGAGATTTTTCAGAGGAGCGTCACGGCTACCGTCACCTGGCGCACTTCAGTTCTTCAGTGACATCCCATCTCCAACCAAGACCCCAGCGAACTTTCCACCATTTTCGATCAGCAAGACAACCACGGCCTTCCCGATCACATTTTCAAAACTTCAAAGATGCCTCCTGCCGCTAAGAAGAGAAAGACCGAGCCCAAGGCCACCGCCAAAGAGGAAATCAAGGAAAACGCGCCGGCAGAACCTGCCGCTACCGAACAGCCCGATGCTGAGGAATCCACCACAACAACCACAGAGGCAGAAGTCCCAGAATCATCCGCATCAGACGATGCCGTATTAAAGGCACAAGATCGCATGGCGCGCTTCAAAGCCCTCAAAGCCCGCGCCAAGAGCTCCTCCGACCAAAATTTCAAAGAAGCGACGCTCGAGTCCCAACGCCTCGCTACAGACCCCAGCCAACTGGCTGCTATCCACCGCAAGCAGGCCATAGCCTCGCACAAGCTTCTCAAGGCCGATGTCGAAGACGCCGGTGGTGACTTTGAGCGCAAGCGCGCGTGGGACTGGACCATCGACGAGAGTGAGAAGTGGGACAAGCGCGTGAAGAAGAAGGAGGCGCACCGCGACAACAATGCGTTCCAGGATTACACTGCCGAGAGCAACAAGATTTACAAGCGGCAGCTCAGGAATATCGCGCCGGATATGGAAAAGTACGAGAAGGACAAGATGGCCGCCATCGAGCGCGCGGCGGCGTCTGGTGGACTCGACATCGTCGAGACGGAAGACGGAGAGCTCATCGCGGTGGACAAGGACGGGTCATTCTATTCAACTGCGGACTCTACAACATTCACACAAAGCAAGCCCGACAAGGCTGCCATTGACCGACTTGTGGAAGACCTCAGGAGAGCTGAGGAGAACCGATTGAAGAAGAGGAAGGACCGCATGGCACAAAACGGCGACGACGGCGACGTCACATACATCAACGAGAAGAACAAGCAGTTCAACCAGAAGCTGGCACGCTTCTACAACAAGTACACTGCGGAGATTAGGGACAGTTTCGAGAGAGGAACCATGATTTAAGAGCCGGATGTTGAATTAATGGGAGTAAAGGCGCGCGGGGAGCCTTACGGCTTCTTTGGGGAATGATACAGTCTATGACAACTTTTAGAATACATGACATGCCCTAGAGCATGGTTTTTCTCCATCCCTTGTTCGCCAGCTCCTCGAGCTCAGGCACTTCGATAGGCCCCTGAACCTTGGTGTCATCCAGTGCCTCTACGACTGCCTCTGCCACGGACTCCACAGGCAAAGGCTTCACACCGCTTGCACCCATGAAGCTGCCCAACACGCCTCCAGTCAGCTTGTTGAACAGAGCACCAGCGCCCGTCATGGCAGCTAGAGGCAGTGTGAACTTTCTCGAGCTGTCGTACATGAAGGGCGGCCTGGGGAAGATGCCACGCATGCGCGGGAATTCGCTGGCAATTGTGCTTTCTGCCTCGCGCTTGGTGGTGATGTACCTCGCCGGTAGTACAGGCGCACCTCCGGCGGCAGAGATGTAGACAAATGCTTTCACGTTCTCGGCGTTTGACTGCTTGGCCAGGGCAATTGCGCTATCGCGGTTCATGACCTCGTAGGTGAATTGGTCCTTGGGGTTGGTGGGTTTGAGGTCAGCGCCCTCGGGGCCTTTGAGAGGGTCGACGCCGCGGTCCTTGACGGGCGCAAAAGCCTTTTGGAGACCGGAGATGGGTGACTCCTGGCCAGAGACGACTCCCTTGTAGTCGGCCTCGAGGAGAATGCCCATGCTGTGGACGACGAAGTCGGCGCCCTTGAGGAGCGGTGCATACGTCGCGGGGCGGAGCATATCGGCACGCTCCCACGAGACCTTGTGTGCCCATTGAGGAGGGGCTGGTGATGAGGTCACTGCCTGCCACTTGGGTTCACCTGAGCGGCTGCGGAACGATGTTAGAAGAGATGATCAGCTGGATGAAGCCCTATGGGAGGATGTACCTGATTGACGTGACATCCCAGCCTCTCGCAACGGCATACTTGCAGATCCTTGACCCGAGGAAGCCGTTGCCTCCGCAGACCACGAGCTTCTTGGTGACGGCTGATGTGGACATGGTCGCAGTGTGAGAAGGTATGAGCGGTCGACCAATTGAGGGAGAATTGGAAGAGTTCACGAGTGAACAGAGCTGGATGAAAGCCAATTGCTGTTGAATGAGATTGAACCCCGAATTCGGCGTTAGTGTACCGACAATCGCATGCCAGTTTCTTCCGAGAGTGGTTCGATGCCGTTCCGGACGCGGTGCAAAGTCATGAAATCATCACCCGCCCCGAAGCTCCCCCAGCTCCCCATTGAAATCTTCCAGGGTCTTGACGCAGGCGTGCGCTTACAGGGGTGCACAGCTAAATTGGAGCTTGTCATTGGCCAGACCCGATTCGCGTTGGCTGCGCCGTCCACTGTGCCTGAGCTTGGAATATTCCATGGGACGGACGAACCGACCTAGAAGAAATGCACCAGACACATCAGACCATTGAGTGTATACCTTACTGAGATGTTTGAAGCATTCCGAAATAAAGATATCAATACTACGTCCCGACGCTTCTTTTTCTTTAGCTATTATCACTTTGTAGAAAGTCATTGACCAGTTCTCGATTCCAGTGGAGACTCATCTATGACCTCATGACCAGCGCTGGAAGCCAAGCTTAGTCTAGAAATTGAGTACCTCTCCGGAATGTGCTCAAGTTCTGTCATTCAGGCGTTCAGTAATTTCAACCTCTCACTTTGTGCATTTTGCGTTACACAATATCTTGTGGGCTAGTTCCCTGTAAGTGCATTTCTAGATATATATCACACGCCTTCAGAAGGTCGCAGACAAGCACACAGGAAATGTAGTAAAAAACAGGCGGACTCATGAAAACAGCCAAAATTCGGTTCGATCAAACCTGCGAACGCCATTGCCTTTTGTATAATACACTTATTTCCTGACTTGCCGCTGGATTAAAGATGGCGTCGTGTCAGAGTTTCCTAGACCCGGCAACAGATTCGATGGGGAAACAGCGAAGGGTATTTCTGGCCCACTTTAAAGTTGCGCACCTGTAAGGCTACCTGAAGGTACTTCTTACCTTGTCTTTCTTCGCCTTGGGGCGCGACTGCAGAAACTATCCTTGCGACAACTCATTTTCCACCATGTACATCTTCGAACACCAACTTTAACGACGACGATTGTCTCCTTAATACTGTATCGTCACACAAGACATATCAATCCATAAGAGTAATTCGCAAAAACCGCAAAGATGGCGCCGCCCAGCAGCCTCGGTAAGCGCGTCAAGGGCACCCAGATCAAGCGTTCCTTCATCTACGGAACCACTGCCCGACCCTTCGATCCCGAGCGCAACCCGAAGCCAGAGGGCGTCCCTGACGACCACACCCACTCGTGGGAGGTCTTTGTAAAGGGTATTGACGACACAGACATTACCTACTGGCTTAGAAGAGTCCAGTTCAAGTTACATGAGTCCATCCCCAATCACGTGCGGAGTGCGTTCCCCCCTTCGCCTTTCCTACTAGGCTGCGAACCTTGCTAACCTCAACGAAGTGATCGACGGCGAACCCGGAAAACCCTTCATCATCCACGAGACCGGATGGGGAGAATTCGAGATCACAATTAAGATGTACTACGTGACCGAGTCCGGCGAGAAGCCCCAAACTCTGTACCACAATCTCCGCTTGCACCCCTTCGGTAGGACCGATGCCGAGAAGGAACAGATGGCCCGCCAGAACAATGGTGAGATTACCGCCTGGAACTACGAAGAGCAGCTCTTCAATGAGCCTTACGAAGCCTTCTACGAGATCCTCACCTCTGGAGCCACTCCAAAGGGCCATCCTGTTGGGAAGGGCGGCAAGGGGAAGAACAAGCCCATTCCTCCTCTGCCTGAGAAGACGTCTAACGTACAAGTTTCCTGGGAGCGGAGTTCCCTTCTGCCCGCGGTAAATAAGCCAGGACAGCCCTTCAGTCTCGAGACGGAGCAGATCGAGGTTAAGAAACTCGCAGAGGCCAAGGCCAAGGTCCAGAAGATGGCCGAGAAACAGCTCGAGATTCTTAAGGAGAGGGAAGCATTACTTGCCAAGCTCAAAGCCGAGAATGCTGCTGCTGCGAGCAGCTAGAAGCCGCCCAGCGCAAAAAACAAGGGGCTCTTTAGGAAACGACGCAAGACCGAGGAAGCCCAACGAAAGCAAGACGAAAAGAAGGTACAGGAAGCGAAGCAAAATCTGCGGAAGATCCTCGACTCCTAGATTGAAGCTGTTGCGGCCGCAGTGGACAGCAATATCCTGTGCCCGCAGTTCGATTACTCTGTGGCACTCGCGTCTTGCAGCGACAGCGAGGCCGACCCGTGGGAGTTAGGCGTCCTTGACGTAGCCCAGAACTTCGTACTCGACAGGATTCATGACTATGCGGCAGCCCGTTGGCCTCATGGGCTGAAGAGACATTTATATCTTGAAGCACTATTGGACGAGCATCAACAAGGATGTGCCCGTTTCTGGAGGAAAATACTTGACAGCAAAATCCGGCGGATGCTGGACAGTGCGCTTGACCACGAGGAGCAGGGCGACCACCATCTGCCACGGGGTGAGCCTATCGCTCCAGCAGAAATGTCACAATCTCTTGCACCTGAGACCGTAAAATATTTACGGACGGTGTCATCTCAAGCTCTGTCATACATGAGAAGTTGCAGCAGCCAGCACGACAACAGAAGTCAAACCCGACTCTTGACAGCACATGATGTGCCTGGGCCTTCTGCAACGCGTCATTTTCCGTATCCTGCGCACTCGAACATCGAACGACGTCGTCCTGAGGTTCGTACATCGCCGTTGAAGCGATGCATCTCAATGGAAGACGTCGAGTTGTCGAACAAAAAGGCAAGGATCGAGTAGTCGTCACAGGCTGAGCACATAAATAGGCTCGGCTTAGCTTGTTGATGTTTAATGGTGTAGCGAATCAAGGTGTATCGATAGCATGCTTCACAGACGCAATTGAGAAAACAGTACTATGCTTAGAAGATGGGAGTTTGATTCTTCCGACATGTCTAACTGACATGCCTTTCGCCGTGGGTCTCTCTCTGTCGAGCCAGGCTTTCGCGCAAAAAAAGATACTCAATGTCTGTCCACAGATTCCGTCTGACCCCTTTTTCCCCGCTCTTTCAAATGATATCAATGTCATTTCCTCTCTTGGTCTGCAGCAGCGGCTCCTTCCTGCTATTCTTCCACCTCCTCTCTCTGTCTATCCGTCCTCCGCGAACGTGACTCTGTGCATATAATTCCATGACAAAAGAAAAGGGTGTAAAGTTTGGTATGTATGCGTACGCGCCTTTTCGAGGACGTCGCTGAAAATGGGCTGATGATGCCGTGATAAGGTAGTAGCAGCAGCCGTAAGGTTTGGTGTCTCTAAAAGACTGCCGTTCGTCATGTCATCAGTTCAGTCGTGGTTGGTGGCCCCCCGAATCCCAACCCAAAGAATCCAAAAAGCGCAAAACAAATTCGACAATGAGGGGGGGAGCCGTGGTTTCTCCAATCTTTGTTTTCCCCGTCGTCGACAAAACAAACATTCTTTTTTTTATGATCCCCTCCCTTCTCCTGTCGAACGCCATGCGGATATACACATTAACACTAAAGCAATCAATGGTTTGGCAGAGCCTTTTGTGTTGTCTCCGCTTGAAAAAAAGGGAAAAAAGAGAGAAGCTCCCCAAACGCCTTGCGAGGAGAAGTCGATGGGACAGACGGTAAGGAAAATGCTAAATCCAGCAGAGTGGATGGATAGGTGGTGATCTTTGTACGGTCGTACGTTATGTTCACCTGCTATGCGCAGGTCTGTTGTTTAGGTTGAGGCTTCGTAGGCCGGAGGGGGAACATCCTCCCTCTCGTCCCACATGCCTTGCTGCTGACGGTTCTTCTCATCGTAGACACGGCGAGCAATCTCTCCAGCCATCTTCATGATCCAAGCCTGCTCGTAAACAGTCGAGTTCTCGCCAGCAGCGCCCTTCTCATTAGGATAAGTCCGAGCCTTGTCGGCTGGCTGTTGGGCCGTCGGAGTAGTCTCCACATTGAGGGCGCTATCGAGTTTGATAGGCGCACTGGGAGCCTCGGTGGGCGGAGCGTAGAAGTTGGGCTGCAAAGGAGGCCGGGAGTGGAGTTGGGGTCTCTCGACGGGGCTGAAGCGGACCTTGCTCGGCGTGGAATTGGCCAGCTCTGCCAGGGCCTCCTCCTGTTCAGGATCCTCCGCAATGGAGCAGGAAGTGAGGGGTTCGGTCGAAGGGCCTGCCACGGAAGCAGAATCAGACGCTATATCCGAATAAGTGTCGCTTGCCTCTGGTGTGGACACGTCGCTGTGGGTGCGACGGAGGTTGACGACTCTGTTCTTCTTCTTCCGGCCTGCATACGATTTCGATCTAATGCCAGCTCCCAGAGACAGTCCGGTGGTCGCCGAGTTAAGGCTCACCATGGACGGCCGGGATGGCAGGTGACCGTGAGCTGCGCTACCTGTGTCAGAGAATGTGTACGTGGTCGACGTCCCAGCGAACGAGTTCGTCTTGGACAAGCTAGGGGTCGCGGTTGGCGGGGTACTGTTTGGTTCAGACGCTGCAGGTCTGGTCCAAGCCCTGAAAACTACATCGCGGATACCCGGCGTGAAGAGGGAGCAGGTGCGATGAGAGTCGTTCAATGCAGCTAGTCTCAGCAGGTTCTTCTGCGAGAAAAGTGATTGGACCTCTGGGCCGCCCTCTAACGATAGTGACGACACGTCGTTCGCATCGAGCAGGTTGCCATTCGCGTCCACGGGGTCTAATGGGGGGCTAGCCAAGGGGTCCACTACGGTCTCATCAGTGTTCTCCTTGGACGCATCCTCGTCCTTTGGCACTGCATCGGGGCACCACAGGCGGAGAGACAGGCGGTGAATGATGGCGGGGAGCTCGTCCATCATCAGATTCCTCAATTGGGCCTCGATAGTCCGCTGCAGATAATCGCGCACAAACTGGATCGAATCAAAGGTCGAGGAGACCTTAAGCGATTCTAGCGGGTCATTCCGGAAAACCAGGGTGAGCCCCTTCGTCCTGGAAAACACCAAAATGATGAAAGCCGAGAGCTTGATCTCGGACAAGGTGATTGACAGCGGGATTGTCAACCCCGATGCCGCCGCCAATGGCTGGGGCGATGTGAAGCTTGGCTTAGAAGATAGGTAGGTATTCAGTGGATTTGCCTGTTTGTTGATATATTAGCCACTGCTATGACGCACGTTCCAATTTGGTAGGTCCGTAGAGAGGTTAAGGACGCGCATCCCAGCATGGCAATTTCAGCATCAATGCAAGGACGCGGGTAGGGACGAAATGTTTGATGAGTAAAAAACAAACACCGGGATGTTTGGGGCAAGTGCCGAGGGGTAGGCGAGGGAAATTTGGGCAGTCTAGTAACCGAGCTCATTGACGATGTTTTTGGAGCAGCGTCATCGAGTCTCGGCTATGTGGTCGTTGGCGGGGCTCGCGCTCATTCCAAGCACTGGCATGGGAATGGCATCGCGATTGAAAATGCCCGATGCAACGAATTCGCGCTGGAACGGGATGCGTCGGGGTTGGATTTGTGCATGTTCGTCGGGGTGCGGCATTGGTGAAGTCATTGCCGCGGCCGCGGCACCGAGCCTCGCCTCCAAAGCTGCGGGTGCAGGGAAGGCGGGAGAAAAAAAGCCACCAGAAAAAAAAATCGGCATACCTGAACCCGGGTCTTCAACGTCAGGAAGGCATCGCCAGAATAACACATTTTGAATATTCCTCGGAATCTATCCTCCGCAATGTCGCCAATCTCAAGAATCTCCAGCTCGGGGGGCACGGAGCCCAGGTTGAACTCGGTAACGAGGATGTCATCGACGATAATCGGCGGCTTCGGAGACTTGTTCAGGGCAGTTGTGAGCATCTCGCGGGCGCGCTGATAGAACTCGGCGTCGGCCGTCAGCGGCGACCAGTTGAAGTTGAAGGCCATGTTGAAATGGCGTTAACTGCGGCCAACCATCGAAGGGTGATTTGGTGTAGGCCGTTCGGCCGGGTAAAAGTAGGACGAAGTCGATCGGAGGGGGTCGCTATGAAATCGGCATTCGACGGAAAGAGCTCTTGAGCTTTGTTCGCAACGGATTGTCGGGAGGAATAAAGGACGGACTCGTTGAGGAGCAGAGCAATTAGAAGGCGAGAGTCCGGGGAAGAGCAGCGGGATAATATGGGGTGAGTGGGAGGAGAAGGAGGGTTGGTTTGGCGAGGAGGCAGGTCTTGGATGTAGATCGGGGCGAGCTCTGTGTGGTGGTGGTGGTGCGGTGCGTGTGTGCGTTTTCCTCCGAATGACGCTGGTCGGGTGCGCTACGAATACACTATTGTATTCGGGAGCGCCTCCCAAGGTCAAGGGAATACTCGGAGGTAAGTGGTGCGGTGCGGGCTTAGCGTGAATTTTTTTTTCCCTCCCGCAAAATTTCTGATACTTGGGAAACCGGGTGCTGTGACTGGTCGACTCCTGCAGGTGTCGCGTGCAGGGAGGTCGACTGGGGTGGGGCGACAGAGGCGGTGGGCACCGTCGGCGCCCTGTGTGAGTGGTCGGCGCAACGGCTGCAGCGTGATGGGCGCCCCCAAGCCACGGTTAAGACAGGAGGAAGCCCTTCCAGTTGGTCTTCCAAGTTCCATCGGGGGAGGGGGGGATTCACAGTGTTTGGAGGGGGTGTGCTCCACTTAATTACAGTGGTTGCAACCTGCTTGTCTGGCAGCCCGGATGGCGCGTAGCACTGAGTGCAGGCAGTGTTTACAGGCCCGTCCCCAGGTGCTTTTTTGCTTGTGAGAAGGGCGGTATGAGTAAGGTAGGGGCAAATTGGCCATCATGCAAGTCACCCGAGGTTGGATTCTAAGACAACGGGCCAGACTAACATCTGCCATCTGCCATCTGGCGCACACCCAAGAGGCATATCGCGGCGGGCAGCATTGCGACGGAGAAAGAACTAACAGCAGAGATCATGACGGTGGCCGATTTAGAGTTGGGCCTCGTTTCCCCAAGCGCGAACCGTCTGGGGAACGGGGGGTCGCAGAGACTCTTCAGATCTGTCAAGCTAAAATCGAATCAGCCTTCTGGGACCGTTTGGCGAAATGAACCCGCCGATGGCATGGCATGGCTTCTTCGCATCGCATCCGCATCCGCATCCCGCCGTGTTGGTTGGTGCCAGTGGCCGTTGCAGCCTTGGACCGGTCACGAGGGGTGGAGAGGCAGCAAAGATCGGACGACGTCGACAGACATGTGCTTGACATGATCCGACATCAGGGCACTTTACGCTCTAAGCACCGAAAAAGCATGAGATGACTTTGCAGGATTCTCGAAAACTGCCAAACTCCAGGAAACGCCGCCGTCCCCTTTTGGTGGATGCATCTGCATGAAGGCTGAATCTGGAAATCAATTTGGCATGGGCTGGTTTGCTCCATCTCAGACCATGCTCTCTCTCCCCTCTTGCATCGTCATCTTCCGTCTCCTGGACTGGGGGATGAAAAGATGCGCTCCACGGTAATACTCCGTGTAATAATAGCAAGGCAGACGCCAGGCCGGGGAGGTGTTCGTGGCCCCTGTAGACTGCTGGAAGAAGGATCAAGGACATGGACAAATCACGTCCGACGATTCGCTCTCGGGTCTTGCAACCTGCCCGCCGTCCCGGCCATCCCTTGGCCCCGAGGCGATGACTCTCTTTCCCCTCCTTCTTGACCGTCGCCCAGTCCGACGCTTTCTTATCCCATCGAAACCTCCTGTCAGATCTGCTGCAGTTCTCCCGTCACCCACGGCCCAATACGACCTGCTATCTACCTACTTTCAACGTCCAGCCAGTGCCGCTCGTCCCTTTCCCCTCACTCTAGGCCACTCATCCAGCCACCAACGGCCCTGTCCTTGGATCTGCTCTCCGCAGTGGTCCGCTTATCGGTGGAAGGGAGCCAACGGGCGACGCCGCAAAGGAAGAAAACGACGCAATCCATGGCTGCGTTCTGGGCCGCCGGTGGGGACTGACACGAGCGACCAACTGCACAGGCCATTCTCGGTCCTCCTCCGGCAGAGACCGGCCGGCACGGCGCCTCGCTTTTCTTGAGTGCTACCCAGATTGCCAGAGCTGAGAGCGTGCCTTGCTCTCGCCGCAGGAACTCATGTATGGAATGGAAACATGTGCATGGGGCGGACGCTGTGCCGATGGAATAATTGGACAATCTTCCTACGTATGCACCGTACTCGGCCCCTCAGTCTGCAACGGGAGGAGATGCGGTATCCAGTGATTTCCAGTCCACTAATAACGACGAGCCTCTCACGAGACTCTGGGGTAAATTTTAGCGAAAGTGAACAGCCTCACACGACTGCTCGCTCTGCACCGACCACTCGTCCCGTCCTGTTCAACGCCCAAAACATGACAAACACGCCAACGCCGACGCCTCCTTGCGGAAAGGGTGTCAGTCATTGGCCAACCCCTCAGCGCCTGCTGAACCAAGGAAGAGCCTGTCTGCTACGGTTGTGTCGACGGAAGCTCAGCTCGCCAGCGCCAAAAAAGCCAGCTTTCTGCTCCACTCCCGGAAGGGGAAAGTCTGTCGTCATCCTGGGATACCGCTGACTTCGCAAAGACAACAACAGCCCATGACAACAACTCCCTCGTTGCGCCGCAGCAACAAATCGCAGATGGAGACGTGTCGATACCGCTCCAAATTTGCTGAATCTATCCAGAAGGTGAAGTCGGGCCAGCCGCTGTCGCTTGCCGTTCTCGCTGCCTTCGTCTTCGGCCCGAGGAGGACAGCCTAGGTTGGGTTGGGTTGGCTGACATCTGTGGTCTTACCTCACCAACGTATCCTGTGTCCATGGTAGATTGGCCAAACTCACTCAAGATAGCAGGAAGATCCAGGTCGAGGTATCGTTTGGACGGGCAGTGTCGGCTCCGCATTTCACCTTCAGTCTTTTTCTACCTTAGTCCCACGGTTGGGAAGGACCTTCCACTACCCGAGTTGCCATATCCTCTAAACTTGAACCATCCACAATGGGCGTTGCTTCCTCCGTCCTGGGTAAAACATTCCTCAAAGCGGCCGCCACCTAGCCCCCAAAGTAGATGGTTTTCTACGGTATCTAGCTTTTAGCCTCCGGACTCTCCCCGTGGCACCGTTTTCCCGACAACATCATCTCGTTTTACCACAAAGATTTCGCCTTTATTAAAGACCCCAGACATTGCTTCACTGCTTTGTTATCTATCTATCACTACCACATCACTACCACGACTACTATCGCGATGGTGCTCCCATTCGCCAACCGCCCGCCGTTCTCGTTTGAGGTGACCAGTGCCAAAGATACTAAGTATATTGGCCACTGGCTATATGTCGACTACGTCGCTGAGGGGGCTGCGAACGTCGTTTTCAAAACCCACTTGCCACCATATGCCGGAAAGCCCGACCCACGCGACAAGACCGATGAAGATCTCCTCAATAGTAAGTTATGGAAACTGTTGCCTCTGCTCGGTTGTTATTGACTCGTTCACAGAACTTCTCTTGAGAGTGCCAAAGGCACCCAAAGATCCCAGCAAGCCGTACCTGGATGCAGGTTTGCAGCTAAGCTACCTCCAGCAGTTTATCCTGCCAATTTTCGACCACCGGCGTGACCTAGTTGTGGTGCACAGACTGGGGAAAGGCAACGAAGACATCATCATGAATATGGTCAACCATCTGAAGGCTTTGGATACCATTCCTCCTCCCAGACGGCCTGCCAAGTTTCGAGGGGACACAATCGAACCGGGTGAAGAATGTTTTGTCGCATTAGTTGAAGACATGCGACCGAGACCGGGTGAGCGCGCTGTCGAATTCAAGCCCAAGTGGCTGGCTCAGTCGCCGTCAGCACCCCCGAAAGCCAATACCTGCCGGTGTTGTGCTCTCGCATCCAAGAAGTACTACGACGCCAACAACCCCCAAACCGCCAAGAAACCCAATCACAAGGTGGAGGGAGATGAGAAGACCAGCGATGACAAGGGCAAGGGCAAGGCCAAAGCCAAGATCGATTCTCCAATCAAGGAGCAGCGGCTGAGCCCGGACAACTACCCCTGCCCTCTCTGGCTCGACCCTGAGAGAGTGACACCTCCAGGCAAAGAATCCGTCCGCGCTGCGGCAATCAAGAAGATCTTCAAGGACGATGAGAATTATGCTCGTCTGTACGAGCTCCTGAAGCAAAAGCCCACACTCAAGCTGTTGAAACAACATCAACTCTCCAAAGATCCACTCGGTCCTCTCAGACGAAAAAAAGACATTGCCGACGTCGATTATGGCATAGCCATGACGTTGAGGGACTGTTCTCTTTTCGTGCGATATCGTATGAAGAAAGAAAAGATGAAAGACGGCACTGTGAAGGAATTGAAGGAAGTGGATGATGCGTCTTTTGAAGCAAAGCTGGCTGACCTGGACTGGAAGAACATTGAGTGGAAATTTGACGAGTGGCGCGCAAAGGAGCTCGCCCTCGTCGAAGGGGAGTGGTATACTGGCCGCGGCCAGATGAGGAACTGCGCGCTCTGGAACTGAGGAGCTCGACACTCAAGAGCCCTCTCCTCTGTAAAACAGTGTATAATTAGCAAGTATAACAGTGTAATGTAATTCAGACGCAAAGGCCGATGCGGCCCGTACACATCCTTGATGAGGAGAAGAGACTGGTCGTGATGCCATGATATCTCTGGGACAACCAGCAGGCCCCATAGATTAAGCTCAATTGCAAACTTCACACAAGGACCATCGCGTGTTGATCTGATTAAATAAATTAAATTGCCCACCTCGCACCCGGCCGGATCCAGCGGCACGACAACAAAATTGACTCGCGCGAGCATAACAACAAAAAACGAGCCATGAGGTAGAAATCATCATCAACGTCGCATTCTTCATGCCATATTACCAGCAAGCGACACGCACATCGACATGCGCTCCGCACGAGTAGACGTCAAAGCCGCGCTGGCCGCGTACCGCTCGCACGTGGCATCCCGCAACCGCCAGGTCCTGGAGGTCTACGTGCCCTTCATCGCGGCCGCGGAAACGGACCTCGACGACGGCGAGGACCTGGACCGGCTCCGGATGGAGAGCCTGCGGGGCCTGCTGTCCGCGGACGAGGAGTGCTTCGCGGAGCTGGGGATCTCGACGCCGGGGGATGTGTTGGACAGGTATGAGGCGCTGGTGCCGCGGTTGGGGCTCGACGGTGTCACGTCGCCGCAGGCGCGGGAGGGGATGAGGAGCAAGATGTGGGGGGAGTATTTCGACGTCGTGCTGAGGGAGCTGAGGCGGACGTGTCTGGAGGAGGTGTGGGAGAGCATTGGCGTGCCTGAGGAGCTTCGAGTCCTGGCGGAGGAGGTTGATGCGGTGGACGGGCCTGGGCTCGCGAAGGACCGGACTGCGTTCTTCTGGTGGGGATTAAGGGACAGGCTTTGGGGCACGGCGGCGGCGGGGAGGGAGTTTGAGCGCAGAACGGCGGAGAGGGTGATGATGCCGACGGAGGCGAAGCAGATGAGCGGGCTGGGGCCCGGGTGGGAGGTTGCTGGCGGGTGGGAGCTCGGGGAGGGTAGGGAGGAGGGGTGGTTTTGTGCTGTGTATTGCAGACGGGCTGGGGATGAGGGTGGTTGGAGGTGGAGGTATACCTTTGTGTCGCAGTGGGATTACTCTTCACGGGTGTTTGGATCGGTGGCGGAGTTCTTGGGATGGTATTGCACGTTTAATGAAGGAGAGCTGCTGAGGGTGGAGGAGTTGAACGCGGACGACATCCTGGCTGGTCTGTTCTGATTTTGGCACTTCATCCTAGGCATTCATAATGGCTTGTATACCCGACAGGAGTCGTTGCTCCTTGATAGAAGAAAATGTTTCTATGTTGATATCAATAATCGTGATCTGTCATGCTATATGTGTATCCCGAAAACTCCGTCCCAATTCAATAATGCATTAACCAAGTACGCCATAGTATCTCCTAAATACCAGCCGCCGAGAAGCTGAGGAGACTGCCCGTCGTCAGGCCAGCCACCAGACATAATCCCATGAATCCTCCCGTGGCCTCGCGCTCGCCGTCCTCGACCCATTCGCCGGCCGCCATCATGCAGCTCGAGCCGAGCCAGCCGTTGGTCAGACCGAAGAAGAACTGAACGACGACGAGGTAGAAGAAGTCGCTGCTGATCACCGCACCACGGCCGCCAATGTTGCAGAGGAGGTACAACGGCAGGAACCCGAGGCGTGCGAGACTCACGCCAAAGAGGGCCGCGGGGCGATGGCGCAGGGAGAATGGTAGGATGGTGGCCATGCGTCCGGACAAGTCTCCCAAGTTCCATGCGAAGAAGGCGAGAGGAATAAAGGCGGCCGGGCGGAAGAGCGCGCCCGCGGGGGACTTTTCATCGCCCGGGTAGCGGACGGAGAGAATCTTGCCCGTGAAGACAGGGAAGAACATTGCGACGGAGAAGCACATGAAGATTGCGCCGGCAAGCCAATGGAGCTTCTTGAGCAGCTGGAAGGGGGAGACGACCTTGCGGGCGGCGCGCTCGGCTTCCTGCACGGAGTTGAGGGACTCGGCCATGTTTTCGACCATGCGGGCTTCGATGATGTGGTTGTGGCGGCGGACGAGGGGGATGAAGGCGACGAGGGCGGAGACTGAGACGGCCACGGCGGCGAGAAAGTAGACAAAGGCCGAGGAGCTGGACGCCTGGATCGCGTCTGTCTCGTTGGCGCTGTCCTTTTCTGGTACGGCAAGAACGGTTATGACTTGCGCGATTGGGGGCAGCACGCCTGCAACACCTTGGCCGGCCATGAGGGCCTGCATGTACTCCGGACGGTTGAAGGAGGCAGCGAAAGCGAAGGCGCCATTTTGGATAAGACCTGTGGCCCAAGAGCTGGACGCTACCATGAACAGGATGAAGGCGAGGTAGGCGCCCGGGGTGACGTCGAGGAACATCGACGTGGAGGCCGTAAGAAGGGAGAAGATTCCCGTGTTGAGGACCAGGGCGAGGTTGATACGGAAGGGGTATGAGGCGGTATATTGGATGTTCGTGAGAATGAGCATCGCGGTGAGGTTGGTCAAGGTCGATACGGTGAGGATCGCAGACTGGAAGTTCTGTTGGATCCAAACGTCGGACTGGAAGCGGACCTGAAAGTAGGGAGCGGCGGCGAGAAACATGTTCCTGTGGACCGTTAGAGTGCTGTTCTGGACACTATTCAGAAGACGAGGGGAGGATGCCGTACCATGCCCACAACATCGCCATACCGAGCCAGGCGAACATCAAGTACTCTGTCCATGAAAAGGGCACCTCTTCTTGACCCTCCAACAACGCAGAGCCCTCGAGCTCGCGGCCTTCCTCTGCCAAGGGCTCATATTCTTCGCGATCGGGCTTGCTGGACTTGCCCAGGTATTCTCGAATGCGGTCCATCATCACTGCTCGGCCCTGTCGGCTGTTTCGATGTCGGAGAACGAGTGTTCGAACAAGCTCGGCGTTTGGGTATGGCGAGGAGCTTCGAGTCGCCGGCAGTAGAGTGCTAGATCAGATTTGACCTTCTTCTGTGCTGGAGGAGCAGCGGAGCGTTACGTTTCGGTGTCGAAGGAAGTCAGGTCGCGCCCGGCGCCGAGGTTCGGGGTTGTCGCCGTTGGGGACCCAATCAATACCCCATCCGTCGCTCGCCCAGGTGCGGATCGGTCGGCCACTCAGTATTCCTTGACAATAGACGGACTCTGATCCAGATGCGTTGGGCACAAGGACAAGCGGGTTCCGTTGGGTAGGCGTGTGTTGTCTTGAGGTCGGAGACAAGCAATCATGTGCCGTGTTCACCAGATCGTCCGTCGTCCACTCAGATGGGGAATGAAATCGATGACCACGCGCCGTGCAGCTAGATCTGGGGTACGGGTTGCTCGGGCGTGGGGGGCTGGTTGATTACCTCAGCAGGATCTTGCGGTAGCCTAACGGGTGCATGCAGAAGCACCTGGAGATCTGACAAGCCTCACCCCTGGAAGGATCTCAATCTTAATTCACTCGAACGATCTGCTGTTCACGTCGTTCCTCAACGACATCCTGACCAATTTGGTCGACAAATTTCAGTTGCCCTGCACCAAATTCTGGGCTTAAGACAAACCGAATTCGAAGTTCTTTGGGTTGATTGCTTCCGATTTACACGCAGTTCAGGGTTTAGTAAACGAGTCTCGTCAGTGTGGGAGAATTATCCGTGTCGACGTACCAAATTCGAAGCGGAGCGGTCCACCACGAGCTTCATCTCACTTCAAACCTTCAAGCATGATATTCATTATCCTGGATACGATGTGCTCAAAGGTGCTGCCACACCAATACTGAGTGCTTCACATGGGACATGGATTGCTTTGCTGATTTAGGCTACGTACTAGTCATCTAGGATAAGTGCCACTTGCTGGAGCTCGGAAATTTAATTGAAGCTTAATTCAAGAGACCAACCATATCCTTTGTGCCCATGCCGCTGTACTCCCCGTGTACTGAAGTGGCTTGAGGTCATGTTCAAAACTCCAGTGACGACGATGACGACTGTGATGGAGACGACGATGATAGTAGAGACGATATTGGAGATGAGAATGGAGCCTGCAGGAAATAGATTCCATAGCATACCTAGTAAACATAGTAGATCTCCAACTGTTTCCCCGTCTATGCTCCTGCCCCTGGATCCGCTAGAAACGCGGACATCGCAGGTAGGAGCAACCTGGTGGCCTCCATGCTATCCTGCCGTACGTGAGCACATCCGGTAGGGTTTATCTTTGTCTCCCGTCTCGTGCTCTTCACCCAAGCCCGCAAGGCCAAGTGGTCTAGCGGTTAACGACTCGTCCCGTTGATTCAGAACTTGGTAGAAATTCATACTGACGTCCTCTAGAATTTCGTAGGGTAGCGGTTCGATTCCGCTCCTGAGCTTTTTTATTTAGTTTTTAATCTGTCAGGCTCCTCTCTTGCGAGTCTGCTCCTTGAGCTTCTCGTACGCAGGATATGCGCGCGCAAGACCTGGCGATGGTCTCGGTGAGCACTGTCGAATGTTCCATCGCCAGCTTCACCTTAATCCCAAACTGGCAACAGGCTCCAGGAGGCCCATTCTGCGACCTACACGTGATAGTCAAGCGATGCAATGCAAGTATGTTTTGCATATTTGCGATATCTCAACAGCAATTTTGCTCCGCTTGGAGTTTTTTATCGCACCAAAGTGCCCTCCACGTGATGCTTTTTTGATGCGACGCAGGTATGTCGTGCATTATTTTTCTGACCGCCATCTCAGTGTACTTATCCTGAGGCCTCACCGACCCGCTCACCGAGAAACATTTCAATCACTCAAAACGTTAGCTGCTTCGAGTCTCGAAAACGAGGCGGAATGGGCATACTTGGTCGTAAGAAAAGCAACCGCAAGCCTCCCGTTAGGTATGCGTCAGACAGCCCCCAACCCCACGGAGCTTTTCTTCTTCCCTACGTAGCACACGGATGCTATGCACTGGCTCCCGAAACCCAGATTAGACCAGTACCGCAGTAATATCGGAGGGTTACAGCGGAAAGCTTGACTTTGCTTTAATTCTTCTCGGATCAACAGAGCCAATACGTATGTGCTCCCAATCTACGAGGTAAAAACTCCCGATGTAGTGGTCGCGGACGTTTCACGGTATCAACGCATCCACACTTCTTCGAATCTGTAATTGCCGTTGAAGAGAGAAGATGTGCAGAGACATGTCTCTCGACACCCAGCCACAATATCTAATTTGCGCAAACTGTTTTGGCCAAGAACTTGATGGGCCAAGACCAGCAGCTGCATATTCCTAGCGACATACATAAGCAGGCTGGGTATATAGATAATCAGATCATGCGTGAGTTTGAATAGCGAATAAGAAATCCCCAGCCGTCTTTCTGCATGTCATTTTCTGGATTGGCTTAATTTAGGAAGCACATCCGTTGTGTAGGTGCGGGCGAGATTCCGGCAGGCTGGGTGTGTTGTTGATTGCCTTGTTCAAAGAAGGTCGATATGGTTCTTTGACCGATGTCTCAACGCTACATGGCAAGATGCATTCCACTAACCTTGCCGAGTAGGAACCGACCAAATCAAGCTTTCGTAGATGGGACTCGTGTCATTCCCAAAGGGATCCTGAGTCTGTGATGATCTAGACCAGAACTCTGGGTGGCTAGTGGTGTCCAATTACGACCCCTGTCGCTCTTGGCACGACGCCACTGGACGGATGAACGCGTTCCAATCTGGGCGCTGTTCAGGCGATCTTTTAGGGGCATGTCAATCGCAGACCTGCCAACCTAGCGTCCGCCCGGCCCAGAAGCGAGCTGGAAGGTTTGGTGGCAGCAGCACCTCCAGGACCACAGCAATACCTCCACTAGCACTTGAGCAATAGGACAGACTCATCCAGCTTGTTACACCAACGTCAACGCATACGCGGCTGCACTTTTTGGCGCAACGTCTTTTCTTCTTCATGCGATGAGGCATTGATTTGTCTGTCTTACCTGCCCTCCCAACTTCGCTTCCAACGGCGCAGTCCTTACTGCGCACAACTTCCCCGAAGTCAGTCGGAATAGCCTCGACGGAGCCCGCTGCGAGGGGCAGGCTACATCATCACCATGCGCCGTCGCCAATGGACGGCCCTTGGCCTTGTCGCCTTCGTTGCCATCTGCCTATTCTCATTATTCAGATTGCCGCCAGACCAGCGACCGATATCGACGTCACCCCTCTCCAATAACCCTCCTCCACCCGCGCCAGAAGCTGCGAAGCCACCACCCGTTGACGATGGACCAGGCTACCTGGGCCCCCCTCCCGATAGACGGCCCAAGCCGGCGACAGGCACTGCCTCGCACCCAATGTGGCACCTCATGACCGACGCCGAGAAGGACTTCCAGATGACGCTCAAGAGGCAGTCCAAGACCCTCGAGGATGCCGTCACTGAGTACAAGAGACGTTACGGCATCCCGCCGCCGCCCAACTTCGACAAGTGGTTCGAGTTCGCAAAGGCCAACGGCGTTCAGCTCATTGACGAATTCGACATGATACACGAGATGCTCACGCCCTTCTGGGGCCTGAAGCCGAAAACGATACGGGAGCGTGCGAGAGAAGCTCTTGGCTTCGACAACAAGCTGTTGGGCCTGCTGATTCGCGACCACAAGATATCGCACATCCAGGGTGGACAGGACTGGCAGCGCGAGGCAACCGCAGGCATGATTGAAAAGTTCATCCAGTGGCTGCCCAGCATGGACCTAGCCTTCAACATCCACGACGAGCCGCGCGTTGTGGTGCCACATGAAGACTTGGCTCGCCTCGTTGAGAGGGCCAAGGATGTGAACATGCCCAAGGCCAACTCATCCCCGAACCCGTCCAACGCCTTCACAAAGCGACACGGAGACCTGAGCGAAGGCAAGATCATCGAGGAGTATAAGCGCACCCGGTTCAACGTCTTCGCCCACCAGCCGACTTGGACTCACTCCCGCATGTCATGCCCGCCCGACAGCCCCTCGCGCGGTCTCGAAGAGGACGAGCTGTCAGACGACCTGAGCAAGTACGGCGTCAGTGAGCTCGGCTTCATTTACAACATCACTGCCATGTCAGACATCTGTCTCTCCCCTTCTCTGGGTGAGACGTTCGGCTTCTTCGACCGGCCCAACGCCTACAACATCGTCCACGACTTGTTCCCCATCTTCTCCCAGTCAAAGATCTCCTCCTACAATGACATTTTGTATCCGTCTCCGTGGTACTGGTACAAAAAGGTCGCCTACGATGAGTCCAAGGATATGCCATGGGAGCAGAAGGAAGACCGCCTCTACTGGCGCGGCTCAACCACTGGCGGCTTCTCTCGTAACGGCGGTTGGCGCCGGCAGCACCGTCAGCACTTTGTTCAAAAGATCAACGCCGCCGACCAGGCAAAGGTCTACATCAACCGCGGCGACGAGAAGAACCCCAAGTGGGAGGTGAAGCAGGTCCCCCGCGGCGACTACCGCGACATCATCGACGTCTACTTCTCGCACGTCGGCCAATGTGACCCGGGCGACTGCGACGCCCAGAAGGAATTCTTCAAGATCCAGGGCCACGCCGAGCAACAGGACGCCTGGAAGTACAAGTACCTCCTCGACATGGACGGCAACGCCTTCTCGGGCCGTTTCTACGCCTTCCTGCAATCCAAATCTCTCACCTTCAAGCTCGCCATCTTCCGCGAGTGGCATTTCGAGTGGCTGCGTCCCTGGGCGCATTACATCCCCATGAGCCTGCAGGGCGACGACTGGCTCGAGGCGGTGCGCTTCTTTGGCGACGGCGCCCTGGGACGCAACGAGGCGGAGCGCATGGCCATCAGCAGCAGCGACTGGGCGAACAAGGTTCTTCGCAAGGAGGACATGGAGGTTTGGTTCTTCCGCCTCTTGTTAGAGTAAGTTTCGCCCCTGCTCACTCCTTATTCACAATCATGCTGACTTACTCATCACAGATACGGCCGCGTCACCGACGACCAAAGAGACACGATTGGTTTCTCAGCAGGAGGGGTTCCGCCGCTGCCAGCGTAGAAGTCTTTTTTTGGCCTTGCTCTCTTGTCATTTTCTATAGTATTTTTTTTTTTTTTCATGGGCAACCCCCTAAAAAACGGAGTTCGGTGGTATATGAAACGGGGTATGAAAGTCGTTACTGTAGAGGGCAACGTCCAACTATACCAGAAAGGGAAAGAGGGAAATTTGCTTGCTTGTGTTTTTTTCTCATGTTGCTCCGTCTCCTTTGTGGCACTTTTCTGTTCCTTCCAAGAAAATTGTATGATGAAATGGCGGGAACGAGGTTGAAAACCCACCCTCATGTTTTATAAACCCACCCAACGGATAGATATTACAAAACCTAATCATGTCATGACGCGGCACTTGGGTTCAAAGCACTGATGACAATAGTGATGATACTGCTCGACATTTTTGTCATTTCCTATTGTCCGGTCCCTTGTCTACTTGCCGTCTTTGAACTCCGCTTCACAAACTGCGCAGACTTAGCCCTTTAAGGAACTGAATGGTATTACAACACGCCCGTCCAGTCGAGCTGTGTCTGATCGCTTAGGTCATGAATCCTCAAATCCAATGGTGTCTCATGCCTTTCATGCTTTTTACCCCCTAACCTAATCGTCATCCTCTTCATCGCCGTCAGCATCCCTCTCAGGGCTGGGCGATGGAAGGGCAGCTTCCTCGCCATTACCCTCAGCTCCTTCAGGTTCCTGGACCTCCTCCACGAAGCCAATCGGCTTCTCACGGTATCGCTTCATGTTCTCCGCGGTCGTGCCCTTTGGGTCGCAGACGGAAATCTCAACTTCGTTGACGACCTGGGTGTCGTCCTCCACCTGAGTGAGAGTGCGTGCAATGTTCTTGGCACGTTGAGGGCGGATTTGGGTGCGTTGAATAACAGGGTAGTAGTAGGCGGCCTTCTGCCGGGTGCTGGTCGGCTCGTCGTTGAAGGCAAGGATGAGCTCCTCGTCGTACTTGGTGTTGTGGTCCAGCTCCGTTTCCTTGGTTGTCTCGTAGGCGCGGAGACGCGAGAACTTGAAGCAGCCGTCGGTGCCTTCGCTCTTATGTGTGTACAGTGAATCGTCGTCCTTATCGGGGTTCTCTGGATCAAACTTGGAGCGGAAGTTCTCAGCTGTGGAAACTGATGCGGGCAAGAAGAAGCTGTAGTCCATAAGGTTCTGGGGCTTGGGGTTGCGGACGGGGTCGCGCTCGTGAGCCTCGACGGCAGCTTGGAATGCCTCGTTCTCTTCACGGCTTCTGTCGAGGGGTCGCAGGAGACCGCTGAGGAGGCGGCGGTCGTACTTGTTGCCGCTCGCGACAGGGTTGGTGAGGAGCTTGACGGTGACGTAGGCGCCGGAGTCGGGGAGCGCGTCATGGTCGGGAAGGAGCTGGTGGGATGATATGAGGCGGACGTTGGGCTTGCTCGGGTGGCGATGACGGGTCGGGTTGCTGATGAAGCGCTCGGCGCTCTCGAAGCTCTTCTCGATCTTGCGTCTGATGGCAGCGGGAGAGTCCTTGTCGGGCTCCGGCGAGCGACGCTTCTCGGGACGCTTGAGCTTGGGGTTTATAAAGGCGCCGGTCGCGCCCGCAGCCCCCTTTCTGGGCATCACGGAGGAGATATATTCGGTTCTGCGAAGGAAAGAGACCGAGGCTTCGGTGCTGCTCTTGGCTCTGCCTAGTGTGGACAGCGGTCTGAGGAGTGGTCGATCATGGGGATGGACTTGAGGAGGGTGTGAAGGTGCTTGAATTGCTTCGAGAACGTCAGAAGGGCACTCGTGGAAGCGATCGTTCAGTTCACTCACAGCTCTCGTCTCCGTCGAAGATACCTGGCATGCCAACTAGGTCCAGGGGCATACCCAGTTCCGCATCGACCTCGATGTTCAACGGCTGCTCTCTGGCAAGACGCGATGCGAAGCCGGGCGTCGTATACTGGCCGCTGGCGAGGCCAGTGTTGGGAATGTCGAGCAGCTTCGGCGGATTGGGGGGCGGCGGTAGGGCATTGGAGTATCTGATTCTGGCGATGAAATCCTGATGGATCATGCGCTCGCCGCCGCGAGGCGCAGAGGAAGACATTTTGACGGTTGTTCAAAGCTCAGCTTGAATGCGAAATGTGCTCTCGTATCGAATTGAAGTGTTGGGGGTTGAAAGGTGAGCTTGGTTGATTAGCGGAGGAGCGAAGTCGCGGTCGCGTTGACGGTTCGGGAGGAAGGTGCATCTGGCCCGGAAAAGTTCCACGAGGCTGAGCTGGGGGCACCTACCTCAATTGCGCCAACGCCCGGACCCAACCCCCAACCAGGCCTTATCGACTTATCGGATGGACTCCCAGCAAACAGCTCGCAGTGGAAAATGGGCGACAACTTTGAAGGGCAATAGACACTTTTTGTGCCTGTCTTATTACAATACGTAGTGTATGAGATGAACGATTCCCAAAGCAAGTCCATCATTCATCAAAGGCGCAATGATTCCCGACCGAAGAGGAGCGCTTCCTCATGCGCCCTGCGTAGTTCGCCGTCGCAAGCATGCACTCATACCGACGCCAGTTCTATACGTACAATTTCTCCCGTCGTCACCGTCGTTGCTGTCCAGGCTCATCATGGATGATTTTGCATCCTCGTATCTGCCTCTCATTCTGTCTATTCCGCGTGCCTAGACTTACACCTGCCAACGTCGCATTTAAGCGCGTGGCACCTGCATTTGCTCTACCGGTAGCGCCCACTAAACCTCCCCTACGAGTTGTTCTTGGCGGCGTAGTTCTTCTTGCCAAAAGTGAAGGGGACGTAGCGGTACTTGATCATGTGCTGGATCTGCTTGCGCACTAGAGAGGGGTCTGGTCAGCTTTGCGCCAAGGGTATTTTGAGAGGGAGGAGACACGTACTCGTCAGGAAGAACAGGATGAACCAGTACATAACCAGAACGGGCCAGAAGACGGGGACGTTGAAGATCTCCCACCAACTGCAGAAGAAGGCGATGAGGATGGCGCGGGTGGCCCAGTACCAGAACTTGAACTCGGGGAGACGGCGGATGAAGGGCTTGAACTCCTCGTCCTGCTTGGTGGGGAGAATACCAACGCCTCCGTCTTCCATCTCATTGTCAAGCGCTTCGTTGGAAGGATCGAACTTGGGCTGGAGGAAGGCTAGGAAGAGGTTGAGGAGGTAGATGCCGAGAGCGTATGCGACAATGTACCAGCCTTGCGCGACGAAGACGCGGGCGAAGAAGACAAGGAGGCAGACGCCGGTACCGACCCATCTGTAGAGCACAAAGGGCGTTGACTGATCGAGAAGTGCTTGGTATTGCTGCGCGAAGGTTAGCTACTTGGTTGGGGCAACCGCGAGGCTCGGGGCGGGCGTGGGCGTGCGTACTCTCTGGATCTTGGAGGTATGCGTAGTAACGGAGGAGAAAGGGGTCTGTTCCGGCTCCATGGTGTCCATCTTGGGCAGCTTGTCGTGGGTATGACCAGCTTTGAGTCCGAAGAATATGTGTTATTCCTGTTGTCGTGAGGGTTCGCCGATCAGAAGATGCGGTGCAGGTCGAGGATGATGGTACTACGGGGGAAAAAAGAGCTGGCGCAGTCGCGATCTGTCCGGACGAATTTTTGGGTTGACTGGCGGGATCTCAGGAATAGCAGGTAGGTTCAGCCACGTAAGGCTTGTTCCCTAACACATAGGTGCACTAGTGATTGCGCAAAGCAGGAGGCACCCAACAGCTTGGCCCGAATCTTACCCGGTGGTTTAGCAACTCGCTCCAGTGATTGGGTCCCCTGGAAAATGGCAGGAAAGGCCCAGAACGAGCCCCTGTGGCGCAGTCTCCCCCCAAGCACGACACTTGGAGGAGGAGCTTGGAACACGGGTGGAGCACATCTGAAGAAACGGGTCCTTTAACCAGGATGCTGCTCTCAGCGACGATAGCGACGATGGAGCCTGTGACGCGGGGGGAGCCTGTCACAGTGCACAGTCCGTGCTCTCATTGCGACCGACTGTATCCTCGGCCCCGGGGCACGGAGAGCCGATGCTTTCCAGCCTGAGCTCTACCTACCAACCAAAGTACTCGAACCCAGGGAGAGCTTTGGGGAGCTCGAGCTTGACTTTGACCTCTTACATCACTGTCACCACTTATCTCGGCCGTCACCATTAAATCCGTTCCAATTGAAGCTGCCTTTCTCCGATTACATCTTCCGTCCGACTCTCTTCCTGAGTAATCAGCGTGACCAGTGTCTTACCCAGCATAAACGTCCGAACCAGTTGACGGTCTCGTGGTTCATCTGTATATCAAAGCAACGCCCGAAGCTCCGTCACCATGAACTCCTTCCGATACTTGCGGCCGATTGCCTCCCGATTGCAGGCCCCGACTCTGCCTAGGCTCACCCGTGGTTATGCCAGCGGTTCGTACGAATACATCCAGGTCTCGAACCCGAAGCCCGGCGTTGGACAAGGTGAGTGCCCGCTCAGCCAGCTACGTTTCGCCTGTTCGCGATGCTTACACAGGTTCACAACAGTCACATTGAACCGACCCAAGGCACTGAACGCTTTATGCACTCCTCTCATTCAAGAGCTGAATGATGCCCTGAGAGCATTCAACGAAGCAGATGACACTTCCGTCATCATCCTCACGGGCTCGCAGAAGGCCTTCGCTGCTGGTGCCGACATCAAGGAGATGGCGCCTTTGACCTTCTCGGAGGCATACACCAAGTCCTTCATCGAATCCTGGTCGCTACTCACCACTCAAGTCAAGAAGCCCATCATCGCAGCTGTCTCAGGCCACGCGCTCGGTGGAGGTTGTGAGCTGTCCATGATGTGCGACATTCTCTACTGCACCGAGAATGCCAACTTTGGCCAGCCCGAGATCAAGCTTGGTACCATTCCCGGTGCCGGAGGCAGTCAGCGACTGACCCGTGCCATTGGAAAGTCCAAGGCCATGGAGCTCATCCTGACCGGCAAGCCGTTCAGCGGTGCTGATGCCGCTCAGTGGGGCCTGGCGGCAAAGGCTTTCCCGTCATATGAGATCTTGATGGAGGAGACGCTCAAGACAGCCGAGACGATTGCCGGCTACTCCCGCGTAGCCATCAACGCGTGCAAGGAGGTCGTGAACAAGAGCCAGGACCTGCCGCTGAGGGATGGCGTCGAGTTTGAGAGAAGGGTGTTCCACAGCTTGTTCGGAAGCAATGACCAGAAGGTCGGCATGAAGGCCTTTGCGGAGAAGAAGAAGGCGGAATGGACGCACTCTTGAGAAGTCGGGCAGGAAATGATCAATGTATGAGAGACGCGTATGAATCTGAGGAAAACAAAATGTCGTGCAACCGTCCTAGTTCGGTTCATGGGGAAATCCGTTCGCTGTACTCGAGCGGGATATGTAATGCGAGCACAGTCAGCGCGTCGCCGAGCGTGCTTGGCCTCGCTCCTCCGGATGGTCTTGTCATCCGCCTCGGACAGGAGGGGCGGCATGTCCTGTTTCTAGGACTCTCCGTGGAGAAACGAATTAAATTGTCGTCGACTTTGACTTACATTTTCGAAACAGCCGCAACGGATGCCCATCGCGAAAGATACTTTTGTTATGAGAGCGCTCACATGAACAGATAGGCCCGCCAAAGTATGATGGTTTCGCAACACGAAATCAGGCCTGAAGTTTACCAGTCTCGAGCCCATTGAGTTCGTATTCCCGTAAAGCTGCAGGGGGGTTACCTGTCTGAGAGATCTGGTGAAAGGGCTGTAGTGACCTCAGCTTAGTCTTAGACACGGCGGTAAGCAGGGATAAGGGAGCCGGGGCCAGCAGACGTGGGGTTGGGCTTCTGTAGCTGCCATCCATCACAGGCGGTTTTCCGAGCTTTTTTTTTTTCTCTCTTGGTGGTCCAGTGCTTGCAGCTGCGGGCACGGCGCGCCTAGCCTTTGCCTTTCAAGCCCGCCCCGCCACCGCAGCTCGCCAACGACCGCCAGCCAGTCTTAATACGAACCATGTCCCCTCAGGCGTATCTTGGGCAGTTCCACGTCTTCCCCAAGACATTGCCTTGGTGCCCGGCATTTTTGGGATCTCGTGGTGCTCCATGGATTCCTCAAAGCCTGCCCTCGACCTGGAGAAGGAGCTGACGTGCTCTGTAAGTTGCCCGTCCTTGTCGTCTGATCCGAAGCCCCGTAGCGCCGCCCTAGAGCGGGAGTCTAGAGAGCCTGTGGGAGTGACAGCGGTGGAAAGTGGGAGGGGCACTTTAAATGCTTCTTTTTGCGCTGACCGATTCGTCTCTGCAGATCTGCACCGAGCTCCTCTACCAGCCCTTGACTCTTCTCGACTGCCTGCACACCTATTGCGGCGCATGTCTGAAAGACTGGTTTTCTTTTCAAGCCCAGCAGGCCGAAAACTCGCCAAACCCACCGTCACCAAGTTCCAACATCTTCACCTGCCCATCATGCCGTGCGCGAGTGCGCGACACGAGGCACAATGCCACCGTCGCAACCCTCCTCGACATGTTCGTTGCGGCAAACCCCGACCGAAAGAGATCTGAGGCGGATATTGAGGAAATGGTCAAGAAGTACAAGCCGGGGGACAAGGTGCTCCCGCGCATACGCAGTCCAGAAAGAACGCCGGACGAGAGGCGGGCGGAAGAGGAAGAGCGGAGGTTAATAGAGGATGTGCGGGAGCTGAGCCTGCGGGAGGCCGGGGTGGAAACCTCCTTGGCTCCGCGACACAGACGACGCCGGGAGGATAGCAGCTCTGGAGACGGCAGAACGCGCAGAAGTCGAGATCCTAGTCGCGACAGCCGTCAGAGTCACAGACACGAGGGCAGTCGACGACCCCGCACCGAAGAAGGTCGATCCCATGGAGACCAGCTGCAGCCCGACGCAAGGCCAAGTGAGCAGAGGAGAAGGCGGAGGAGTGAGTCAAGGCAACGTGAGGAGTCATCGGCGGAATCCCGACGTCGCCAAATTGAGCATCAGTCATCGCTCAGGTCGTTGATCAGCTCCGGAGACTTGAGTGAGCGGGACATCGAGAGGGAGATTGAAGAGTTCGCAAGGCAGATCCAGGAGGAGGGCCTTCTTGATGGTCTCGACCTCGACAATATTGACCTCAGTCGAAACGACGACCTAAGCCGAAAGATCACGGAGGCCTACCGGCGCCGGCAGAGGGAGCGGGAGCGGGCCAGAGGTGACAGGACTAGGAGGAGAGATACCGATGGGCAGTCGAGGCACTCTCCTGACCGTGTTCAGGAGATCAGGGCAACTGCATCAGACAGCAGCAGGCCATCAAGCAGACAACGACCACACTCGAGATCGACCAGTGCCACAGGCGTACCCGATGATCGCAGCCGACCCCCGCTCTCGCAAAGTGCGATGCACCTCGAAATACGCCCAGAGGAGAGGCGAAGGAGACGTCGAACCTCTAGCGGCGGCCGTAGTGCGACCACGTCGCTTCCAGCTTCGCAGTCTGAAGTCCGCGTGGCTACACGTTCACAGACGGACCTTTCCACCACAACCCGTACACAGTCTGGCGATGCATCGGCGCCGAGGACAGTCTTTGGCGAAGCCAGAAGCTCTAGCACTCCCTCTGTGCCGACGACGCAGCCTCCTAGTGATTCCCCCACGTCTCGCGATCTTTCTTTCGCCGGCCGAGCACCAACCTCTGCGCTGGTATCTGCCAACTTCGCCCCCTCTCCGCCCATAGAGCCGTTATCACCTCGCATCCAGCGGCCAAACCGCCCGGCAGATCTGTCCATCATCAGCCAGACCCTCTCCAGTCCAGTCGGCCTGGGCATCGGCAGCCCAAACTCACCAGGACACCAACGCACACGCTCACAGCTTTACCCCGAGCCGTCCATCGCATGTTCCAGGTGTGCCAAACAGCACATTGAGTACGACCTTCACTACAACTGCGGCATCTGTGCCAGTGGCAACTGGAATATCTGTCTCGAATGCTATCGTTCGGGCAAGGGCTGCTTGCATTGGTTCGGCTTCGGATACGGCGCGTGGGCAAAGTGGGAGAAAGCTCGCCAAGCCGGTCGTGAGGATCTACCCAGACCTCACATGCTAACGGCAAACCGATATCTCCAACCCAAGATCATCCCTGGTGGAGCGGAGGGTAGGAGGACGCTTACGACTGAGGACCCGATCAAGCGTCTAGAGAGCGGCAACTTCTGCGCAAATTGCCTGTCATGGGCGAATGAGTGCTTCTGGCGTTGCGATTCGTGCAATCTGGGCGACTGGGGTTTCTGCAATAACTGCGTGAACCAGGGACGATCCTGCACTCACCCGCTTCTGCCATTGACATATCAGCCTCAGCAATCCCACACGCCGCCCGCGAGCCCGAGATCGCCAAAACCGCCTCATTCGTCGGCTGTTCTGACGGGCCCAAACATCCATAATATCGGCCCCTTCAAACCTCTTACCTTTACAACCCGCTGCGATGTATGCCAAGACCCCATCGTGCCCAGCCACAGCCGGTACCACTGCTTTACCTGCACCAGCTCCATCGAGCCAGACACCTACCCCGGCGATTACGACATATGCACCAACTGCTACGCCAACCTCGAGGCCCGCGGCCAAGTCAGCCCCGAAAACGGCCACGCCGGTTGGCGCCGCTGCCTCAACGGGCACCGCATGGTCGTCGTCGGCTTCCATGACGGACCCGGCGGGCAGTATCGGCACGTCCTCGCTGATCTCGTCGGCGGCCGTGGGTTGCGGATGGAACAAGCCTCGGGCGACGATCCAGCGCACCACAAGTGGTGGTGGACCGAGGGCTCGCAGCGACGCGAACGCTTCGTCACGGCGGACGTGGCGGAGGACGCCCCGACGAACGAGGGCCTGGCACAGGGATTCCCGCCGGACGGGGGTACGGGGATGCGGGCCAACGCGGCGTGGGCTTGGTTCCCCAAGGCCGAGGACGAGTTGATGTTTCCCAAGGGTGCTGAGATTAGGGAGATTGAGGATGTCAATGGGGACTGGTTCTTTGGGGTCTACATGGGCGCCAAGGGGCTCTTCCCTTCGCCGTACGTGAGAAACTTGGAGCAGCACTGAGAAAACTGCGGCGGTTGGTGAAAGCAAGAGAATGATTATATAATGAGGCGCCGTGATGAATGAAACGGCCGGGAGCATCAAAAGTGGCACATGTCCTGCGGACGCCACCATGTTCTCTATATAGGTGAAATGGATATCCAATGTATCAATATGAACAAAATTTGACAACAAAGGTTTATATGAAGAAGTGGTCAGAAGGCCAAAACAGAGAAGGACATGGAAAACAGGGAAAGAACTTCAGGAGACTGAAATATGTATTCAACCGCTACGCTATGTCTTTACGTTCAAGCTATTCCCTCAACAGGGGATGACGAGAATTGATGGTCATGTTCAGCCAACTTTAGGGACACACACGATCTCTGCTAAGTCAGTCAACACTAACTTTGTGTGTTGGTCAAGTTACTCTCTGACCTGTCTGGTGTGGAGGACTTCTCAGGAACGTCATGTATTAGATGTGCTGCAGTAATTATTTCGTGGCCTATGGCATTACCCATAGATACCCATCATTACCCATTACCCATTACCCATTACCCATTACCCATTACCCATTACCCATTACCCATTACCCATTACCCATTACCCATTACCCATTACCCATTACCCATTACCCATTACCCATTACCCATTACCCATTACCCATTACCCATTACCCATTACCCATTACCCATTACCCATTACCCATTACCCATTACCCATTACCCATTACCCATTACCTACTACCCATAAATATCCAGATGGGTACCCATACTCAAACCTTATCCCTACCCATGGGTATCCAACGGGTATTCAATGGGTATCCATATTCATAGAACCCGTACAACACGGATATCCAGACCAAATCATACCCATACCCATACCCATACCCAGAACATACTCATGGGTATCCAAAACATTCCCACATCCAAACCACGTCCACATCTAGAACATATTCGTCCCCGTTGGTACCCATGACCATCATCCATTACCCGTATGGTTGTCTATACGGATATCTAAATAATATCCTACGTATGGATATCCATACCCATAGACTCCATACCCATGGATATCCAAATCGTCGCCATACCCAGACCATACCCTTATCCGTACCCATGGATATCCAATGGATGTCCATATTCATACCCACCCCCATGGGTATCCAGATCCCACGGATACCCATATGGATATCTCACGAATATCCAATCGATACCATACCCATGCTCATGCGCAAACCAGATCTATACCAGAGATATGTCCATACCCATGGGTATCCGTACCATGGGTATCCGTACCATGGGTACCCGTATCCATGAATATCCATATGGTTACCCACACCCAAATAGACCTATATTATATGACTCGACTAGGGAAACATTGCAGAAATGCTAGGGAATGAAGTGGTGGCCATGATATAAAAGAATGCGCCGTGTCCGAGCCTTAGCATCTTCGTTGCGCCATCGTTGTCCTGGGGACTGCTTATTCCAACAGTCTCATAAGTATAATGACGACAACGATCATTTGGATAGGTACAAAGATAACCGGATGAATCCAAGTCGACAGATGTGTTAAGCACCACACTAATGAGAAAAGGTAATTTAATTATTGAAAAAAGGGTTTGCGGTTGCATGGTAGTAGCAAAATAAAGTAAGGTAGATGTTTCCAACTCTACAAGCTGACTGAACTTAACCGTCGCAATTTGCCTGGTGCGGTCATGACTGAGAACGGGAATACGTCTCTGTCTTGAATGGCGTCAGGGCCAGCACAAGTTTCTGTAGGAGATAGCAATGCTTCCAGAAGTCCTGAATCAAGCAGTGTGCGTTCGTCGTCAATTTGAAAAGGGACTTTTAGTTTACGTCAAAAATGCACTTCGTACGCATTGGCTGTTAATTGTCCCGTATTCAACATTACTTCCGAACTAGCCTTGTTCGATGAAATCTGCAAAATGTACCTACCCCGAGACGCGCAACACAATTCTAAGCAACTATTTCACTGAAAGTCGGACCGGTCTCGTCGGCACGGGATGATCGGCCGGCTCCCCCGACTGCCGTCCCGCGGCCCCGCGCCGTTCTTCAGCAACCCCACCACAGCCGCCTCAAGCTCTGACGTGATTTTTTTTAGCGGCACGCAGAACCCAATTGAACCCCACCACGGGAGGGACCACCCCTTGTCACTCAGCTTAGAAAGCCGAATGCCGGAGGTTCTTCAACACACCTAGAAACCGCCAATCCCCCAAGTCGCAAGTCGACCGATCGCACTACACAGCTGTTCCCCGGGCTGCGATTCTGAATCTTGGAGTGATTAACTCTTCGAGATACAGACACCATGAACCGTCTCGGTGTCCGTCGCTTCGCGACGACGGCCGTCCGCGCCATTGACCCTCCCAGCGCCTACTCCCTCAACCTCTCCAAGGCGCAGGGCGTCGTCAAGGGCCTCACCGGCGGTACGCCCTTGTATCCCCCTCAATTGACAGCATGCTGACCACACGCCTTCTCTCTAGCCATCGGCAACACCCCCCTCATCCGCCTCAACAAGCTCTCCGCCGAAACCGGCTGCGAAGTCCTCGGCAAGGCCGAGTTCATGAACCCCGGCGGCTCCGTCAAGGACCGCGCCGCCCTCTACGTCGTCAAGGACGCCGAGGAGCGCGGTCTCCTCAAGCCGGGCGGCACCGTCGTCGAGGGCACCGCGGGCAACACCGGCATCGGCCTCGCGCACGTCTGCCGCTCCAAGGGCTACAAGCTCGTCATCTACATGCCCAACACCCAGTCCCAGGGCAAGATCGACCTGCTGAGGCTGCTCGGCGCCGAGGTCTACCCCGTGCCGGCCGTCGCCTTCGAGAACCCCGAGAACTACAACCACCAGGCCCGCCGCCACGCCGAGCGCCTCGACAACGCCGTCTGGACGAACCAGTTCGACAACACGGCCAACCGCCGCGCGCACATCGAGACCACGGGCCCCGAGATCTGGGAGCAGACGCAGGGCAAGGTCGACGCCTTCACGTGCGCCACGGGCACCGCCGGCACGCTCGCGGGCATCACGCGCTTCCTCAAGGACAAGAGCGGCGGCCGCGTGAAGTCGTTCCTCGCCGACCCGCCCGGCAGCGTGCTGCACTCGTACGTAAGCTCCGGGGGCAAGCTGGTGGAGCGCACGGGGTCCAGCATCACCGAGGGCATCGGCCAGGGCCGCATTACGGACAATCTGGCGCCCGATATCGGGCTCGTTGACGGCTCCCTGACTATCGCCGACGAGAAGAGCATCGAGATGGTGTACCGCTGCCTCGACGAGGAGGGTCTGTACCTGGGCGCCAGCTCGGCCCTCAACGTCGTGGCCGCCAAGGAGGTCGCTGAGAAGCTCGGCAAGGGACACACTGTCGTCACAATCCTCTGCGACGGCGCATACCGCTACGCCGAGAGGTTGTTCTCGCGCAAGTGGCTGGGCGAGAAGAAGCTCCTGGGCGCGATACCGAAGCATCTGGAAAAGTACATTGTCTTGCCGTAGTCGGCCGTCTCTTTTGGGTGTGTGCCTTTGATGCTTGTATACATAGATAATCTTACATATCAGCTGTACATAGCCCCCGCCTGCCTCCTGGAGCGCCGTCTGATTCTTTTTTTATGCCATCCCCCGCCTCCGTTTTTCTCGCATTAATCATGCCCTCTCTTCATATGTCCCGACTGTCTCCTAAGCCTTGGACTCAAAGAGGGTGCTGTAGGTTGACAAGCCGCGCTCGGCAGGAGTGCTGTCGCTGTCGACCGCCTGCTTCACCTCGGCGCCGAGCGTCGCAGCGATTGCCTGCAGCTTCTCCGCCGTGGGCTGATCCACCACGCGGGCAGCGAGGAACAGACCGTGCAGGACAGGGCTGGCGGTGGCCAGGTACTGCGTCCTGCTCGAGGCCAGGTACGCGACACCGGTCTGGTAGTTCTTGTAGGCCTCCCTCGGGTGCAACTTCTTCAAGCCCTTGTCCGCGGGCCACCTCTCCACAACCTGTTTCGCGTACCGCGTAACCTTGCCGTCGACGTCCTTGCCCTCGTTGTGCTTCACAGCCAGCACGGCAGCCAGGTGCAGCGCCGCGCCCAGAACCTGGGGGTCCTTGTGCAGCGGCCAGCGGACCTGCTGCCCGCGCTTGACTGTCGGGTCGTGCTTGAGCTTGTGCTTGTCGTCCTCGATCATCTCAATCACCATCTCCGCCCACCGCAGGCTCTGCTCCGTCAACTCCTTGTCCCACCCGCTCTGGGCCGCGCGCATCTGCACGTAGTGTAGCGTCTCGTTGACCTTCTCCGACGTGTCCAGCTTGAAGCCGGTCTTGCGCACCTGCCGCGCCGCCTCGATGATGGTGAAGATCTGCCCCTTGGAGCCCGCCAGACGCACCATCTTGGCGAAGTCGACCTGGCTGTACCGGCGCCCCGCGATGCGCATGCCCGCTAGCAGGCGGCCAAAGTTGTTCCAGTCCTCGGCGGTCTGCATCTCACGCAGGGCCTTCCAGGTGATTTCGCGTGAGGGCGGCAGGGCGTCCTGGTCGATGTGGGTGAACTTGTGCTCGTGGCCGTCAACCTCGACGTAGACGGGGTCGGTGCGGAGGGAGTTCTTCATCTTCGGGGAGAACACACGCTGGCGCTGGTGGATGGGGAGGTGGAAGGGGAGGATGATGTTGGACTGGATCTCTTCGAGGATCGGAGCGAGGCCAGGGTTTGAGGTCTTATCAAAGATGACTTGGTTATTATCTACCACCATCTGGTTAGCTTCTTCGGTATAAACGTTGATCAGGGAACGTACTTTGGTGGGATGGTGTTTGGCTGAAGCTCCGTTGCTGCTGCGCGATGCAGCCCGCCGGTTGCTCCCATACCGACGGCTTTGCCCTCAGGGCCCTTCCAACCAAACTCCTGGACATGATCTCCGTATGTGGCGTGGGTTGTTGTCGAGACTATCGAGACATCCGGCGAGGGAGCTACGGGTAGTGCAGGGTCCCCTCCAAAAATTTGGAGATGCAAGAACGGTGCAGCGATCGCGCCCGGCTCCGCATCATTGATGCACCGAGCCAATCACAGCCCGCAATTGGCACTCCGAACATCGACTTTTTGGATTCTCTCCTACGAAAGCTACCCTGCGCCTCGGTCGACGGCAACGCCTTTCGGGTCCAAATCGCCCACTACACCTCAGAATGAACGCAAACTGTCTACTCAGACGGCCTGTGGGCTGTCTGAAGACAGCGCTCCGTCAGACGCGCCACCAGAGACTGCTCACCCGGTCCATGGCCACCGCCGTCGAGAAGCCTAAAGCACCACCAAAAGGCTCTGCTCAGGCAAAACCACCCTTCAAACTCCCCAAGCCGGCAAGATGTAAGCATTTTCTCACGATACACTCACAAAGACGGATTTGCTAACACAGCACCCAGTTCAACCCGAAGGCAAGCCCTTATTCTACGTCTGGCCGCAAGTCGAATCCATCCGCACCACCCACAAGAACCCCATGCCTGAGCTCGACGCCAAGCAGCGCGCGACCCTCGACCCGACCGGCGCCCGAACCCGCCTCTTCGACATCACCCGGCCCGACGCCGCCAAGGTCGGCGACGTCCTCATGGTCACCACGAAATCCGGCGAGCCCTTCTCCGGCGTGTGCATCAGTATCCGCCGCCGCGGCGTCGACACGGCCATCCTCGTGCGCTCGCAGCTGATGAAGGTCGGCGTCGAGATGTGGTACAAGATTTACTCGCCCACCGTCATCGGTATCGATATCGTCTGGCGCAGGCCCAAGCGCGCGAGGCGTGCTCGTCTCACGTACATGCGCAAGCCGAAGCATGACATGGGCAACGTCGATCACCTCGTCTATGCTTGGAAGAAGGAGAGGTACGGTATGCGTGCGAGGGCGAAGGGACAGGTTGGTTCGAGGTTCGAGAAGGAGCAGAAGTGATGATTTTGAGGGGTCCCGGTTGTTGCAGAGGATGCGTGGTGGGGGAGGCTTTGACATTATCTTGGCCGTAACGGCCTCGAAGGGTGATGTACGATTAGAAAACTGGTGGGTTGTACAACACGGACCCAGGAGCCTTGTACATGAACACAAAAAGATCTCTTACAATCAATGGATTACGAACCAAGGTGTATACCATGAGAACGACAAGGAAATGGAGAGGGGTCTAAGATTGAGAAGAGCAGAGGCTTGGGTTAGGTGCCAAAAAGCTTGAGAATTAAAGAAAGGTTACTAAATCTACAGAATAAGGAAGAATGGCGAGTGTCATAATGGGGCTTTCTAGAGATGGTGCATCAAAGCAATCATGACTGAGGGTTTTGAATTGAGGTCTCAAAGATTTGGCTGGGTCTAGTTAGGTAAAAACCTTGACCACAGGCCGACAGAAGACATATCACTAGATAAAGGAGAAATGCAGACATGAAAAATGAAACTCTCGATCGTCAGTCATCATAATTGTACAGAATCCTAAGAATGTACAGGAATTTCCCAACGCCAATTCACAAGGTATGTCCGTAGCTTGAGCTTGTCTAATCCGTCCTGTCTTCGGAAAAGAATGACTGCCGCACCAAATATGTATTTCAAACCAGTAACTCCGCACACGTGCCGATATCGTGTATAACTCCGTAAAAGGCTTGCTGATTGTTTTACTCCTTAGGTGTTGATGGCTTCGGGCCGATCAATTGCTGCAGCGTCTAGCGCGCTGGTGTAGTGTTGACTCTTCGAGTCGTGTTCATAACCTCAGAGTCGGTAGACGTGCTATCGTCCTCAGCCGGCTCAGTGGCACGCCTCCTCATCTCCTCTGCTATTGGCAGATGGTGGTCGCCAACCTCGAAAGACCTGCTGCGTCGGGACGTAAAACTGTCTTCGTGCGGGACCATGGGAGGACCAGGGTGTAGGAATTGAGTCAAGATGTTGATGTTTCCGCGATTGGTGCTCTGCCTTCTCGATCTCAGATGAGATCGACTGGCGCTCACGGCTGTTCCGGTTGATGCGCCAGTAGCAGATCGTACTAGTACTGGCAATGGCGCCTCTTCAGCCTCCTTTTCAAAGCGCGACTCGCTCGGAAGGAGCACAGCGCGATCAAGGCCATAAGGCAAACCACGGTGTCTTCCACGGATTTGCATGGCAATGATGATAAGCTTGCCTCCGGTGGTGAACTGCGAGCAGAGTGATGCGTTGACGTTGGGGTAGCCAAGACTCAGTCCAACGGTACCGTAGGCACTCACTATCTCGAACAGCACAGAAAAGACATCGAAGTCCTTCTTCTGAATACGAGGTCCTTCGGTGATGGCCAAAATGAAGAGCCCCAAGAACACGTACCACAAATCGAAGGAAAGTTGTCGACGCAAATGGGTTCCGACGTAAGACATGGCACTGTTCTCATTCGCAGCGTCGACGTCTTCGTCGGGGTGATGGTATACGCCAAGTGATTTCTCCTCGTAAACGTTGGTGCGACGAATGGAGATGGCGATGGGAAAGACTGAAATGTACATCATGATCATGTACGAAACCTGGACAGCAGGGTGCAGAAGTGAAATGTTGACCACAGAGAAACCTGCGGTTCTGGTCGATGCCGCCTGGAACAGGCCGTCGACGATGCGGAGGCCAACTGGCAAATGGCTGACAGCGTTGTCGTTGAGCTATACCAGAAGTCAGCGTTGTTTGCTATGTGAGTGAAATCAAGCACTTACATCGAGAAGAACGAAGAACAACAAATCGAGGACATTGAGACCGATGAGAATAGTCAACAGCCACCATGTTGCACCTGCTGGAAATAGCAGGGTAAAGCAGCGACGAGGGTGGTCCAACAAGAATCTGAGCTCCTGATGGAGACCTCCCTTAGGAACAACTTTTGACAGGACCCAGATAACAAACCGGAGCATCACAGGGAAGCCAGTGTTGCCAATTATGATGAGGAACGACATGATCAACAGAATGAAAGGCACGTCGTTGAAAGAGTTCATGCTGTCCGGGGTCAGGGTGAGACCTAGATCGTTAAGAGCCGAGTTCGCGGTGAAGATGGCCCACCAGGCCTTGCTGACGCCGTTGGATTCGATGTAGTTCCCGTATTTGTCGTTCGAGCTAGTGTGGACCCATGGAAGGAAGCACGCGACGGCAAAAAGCGAGAAGCCCCAAAAGTAACAGAGTAGAATGACGGCAAGCGTCCTCAACGACCGGTACTCGATTCCTCCTAGTTCCTCACGTTGGTCCTGTGTCAGGCCAGGGAAGGCAGAGTTTCTACCCAAAGTAGGCGTGAAACTGAGGTAGGGCATGTCGTCTTGCTTGTCGCGTGACAAGGCTGATCGGAACGTATCGACGCGGCTCCGGACTCTCGTCAAAGCGTTTTCTGATGTGGCATCATCCTGCGGTTGCTTCTTGCGATGCCTGCGGAACGTGAAGGGGAAAATGGCTCTGCCGATAGCCTCGGCTTCATCTGCAAGCTCATCCTTGACGGGGGGCTCGTGGTGGTCTCGAGGCCGCTCCGGCTCTTCGATCTTGATCGTCTGTCGTCGGCCAACATGGCCGACATCGTTGGC